GGAACGCTCTAGGGAACTTCTCTGTAGATCTTCGGATCTTCCACTGTTTGTGGAACTGATTCTTCTCTACAATTCATTCATGTGACTTCCAGCCACCTCAGCTTCACTGGACTCAGCTGTCTCAACTCAAGAAGCTCTACCTACCAAGGGCCCACCTCCCGATGCTCTGACCTTTTCCAAGCTGACCTGGGCCAACTGTAGAGTTCACCTAATTACTAATCCTCAGGAATGACTTTCTATTGCTGACTAGTTTCTAGTGAGAAACTGATGTCCAATATCCTGAAAGCTGTGGCTTTGCATACGTTGTCCAGCTTCCTGGTCATTTCAGAAGGCAAAGAAACTCTGGTCTCTGTTACTCCACCTTGACTGGAAGTAGCAGTTTTCTTGCTTTTTTAAAAACAGTTTTATTAGGGGCTGGGGATTTAGCTCAACGGCATAAGCACCTGCCTTGCAAGCAGGCGGTTGTGAGTTCGATTCCTGGTAAAAATAAAAAACAGTTCGATCCCTGGTAAAAAAAAAAAAACAGTTTTATTATGGTCTGTAGCTCTATGCAACAATTTAGTCTTGTGTTTCTGAGCTCACTCTTTTCTTTTTTTTAATTTTTTTTTTTGTCTTTTTCGTTTTTATTGGTACCAGGGATCGAACTCACAACCACATACTTGCAAGGCAGGCGCTTATGCCACTGAGCTAAATCCCCAGCCTTTCTTTTTTTTTTTTAAAAGATAAGATCTCACTGTTTAGTTCAGGCTGGTTTTTTTTCAAACTCATTGTGTAGCCCAGGCTGGCCTTGAACTCGTGATGATCGTCCTCAGACTTCCAAGTACTGGGATGACAGGCATGTGACACCTCATCTAACTTTTTCTGAGTTTTCTCCAAGCCCATGGTGCACTGCCTTCCACAACTTGCTTTGCCCTCTAAGAATTATGTTCCTGTGATGCTTCATGTTGCTCTTAGGGGCATATTTAAATGCCATCGTTCATCTGTCTCTTCTACTGCTGACAGACCTTTGGGTTACTTAAGAGTCCTTTCCATCAATAAGAATGCTTCTGTGAAGATTCTTGTGCTTTCCTGTAGTTATACACAAATGCACTAACTATGTGGAGGAAGAATGCATAAGGATTCGGATTTTCAGCTTTGCATGACACCACAGTTTATATGTGGTTTTTTTTGTCTTTTGTTTTGAGACAGGGTCTTGCTATGTAGTTTAGGCAAGCTGGCCGCAAACTCTTGGTGATTTTCCTGCCTCAGCCTCTCAAGTGCTGGGATTACAAGGGTTCACCACCATGCCTGACAATGCGACACTGTTTTTTATTTTTTATTTTTATTTTTTTGTTTTTTTATCTGTACTGGGGATCAAGCTCACGACTGCCTGCTTGCAAGGTAGGCGCTTATGCTGCTGAGCTAAATCCCCAGCCCCGCTACACTTTTTAAAATGGCTGTATGCATGTACCGTATGCATGAGCTGTTTTGCATCCTCATTCACACTTCGTATTGTCAGGTCTTTCCATTTTTTTCCATTCTGAAGTTGTAACTTGATACCATCTTTATTCTGATACCATTTTACTGATGAATATAGCTTTCCACTGATGAAGACAGATTTCCATTTTACTGATGAATAAAGTTCTATGTGCTACTTCCATCAGAAACTTGTTCAAATTTTGTGTCTTTTTTTTCTTTTTTCTTTTCCAGTACTAACGGCCACTGTACTGTACTGAGTTATATCTCAGCTCTTTATAGGTGTGTACATTCATGCCTCGGTCTCCTTTTTTATTGGGTATTTCTGAGCCTTTTTATTCCTTATAGAGAAATTCATTTAAGTCTCGCCTATTAATAAGTTGAAGCATTTAATAGGGCTTTCATTTTAAAAAGTCTGAATTTATAGACATTTTGTTAAATAAAAATTTTAGCAAACATTATTTATAGCAATAGTTTCTGTTTTTTTTAGGACATGGTCTCAATATGCAGTTCAGGCTGGCATTAAGCTCACTGTATAGCAAGGCTGCTGCAAACTCTCAGTGATCCTCCAGCTTTAGCCTCCTGAGTGCCAGGATTACAGGTATGCATCACCATGCCTGGTGCAAACCAGTTTTGTTTTTTTTTTTTTTTTCTAAACAGACAACCTATACTTCCTTTTCCCTCACCTACTCATTGAAAGGGTTTTGGCCCAGACAGGACACTGTAGCAGGTAAAGCCAAGGAGCTCCTATCTCCCCCTCCCCTAGGAATCTACCAAACAAAGACCAATGGGCTCCCTGTGCATCCTGAAGGCCCCCTGAGGTTCCACCCCAAACCAAGGCTACTTATGTGCCTCACTCCAGGTGTTCACGGAGATCGGGTAGGGGGTTGGGGGTGTCTCTCCCCACATTCTCAAAACAAAGGTCATTTACTCATACTTCTTATCTTTTCAGCCTATCAGTTCTCAATTATAAAGATCAGACACTCTTATTCCATGGACAAGATAAGCTGTCCTGCTGCATACAGGCTACAGTGCAGGCACAGTGTAGGTTGTCTGTAAAAGGAACGAGGCGCCTTGTGACAGCAAAATACTTCCCTCCAGAAAAGAATACTTCCCCTGCAGTTGCACTCTGCATATGCAGTTCACTGCTCTTATGGTGGGTATACTGTGTCAACTTGAGACTTTTAACTAAGCAACTCAGCAGGGAGCCAGGTCCTTACTTGGTTAAAAAACATTCTATTCTGTGCAAGAGAAGGGCAAGGAGATTTTGTGGATGCCACACCCACCCTGGGGTGGCCTGTGTAGAAGACAAGGAGGAAAACGGATTGCTGTTCCTGACTGGTGCTCTTGTTGCTTTGCTGTCTTCGGCCACTTTGAAGTGTGGTGCGGCTCCCTGCCTTGGAGCCAGCTGATTATGGACTGAAACCTCACACACTGTGAGCTAAATAAACCTTTCCTTCCTTAATTTTGGGTGTTGGGTATTTTGTTTCAGCAATCACAGAAAAGTAACCAAGACACTGAGTAAACACAGCAGGAGCAGGGCTGGGCAGCCACCCACACTTCTTCATTCCCTCAGCTGCCAGGATAAGGCACTGGAATGCTCTGCTCTTTTCTGAGCCTGTAGTGGCGACTCAGGCTATGGCAGGTGACTTCTGCTTCTGTGCACATCATTATCAGGGCATGCTCAGTCCCAGCCTCCTCTGTGGCTTGTGCCAGAGACACAGTGACCAGGTGTTTCTGTGCTCTTAGAGAATTTCAGTCTCTTCTGTATAAAACTCAAAGGGCATCAAAGAGGGCCTAGGATCTCCATCAGAAGGGAGTACAACTGAAGAATAAGTCCAATTTAGCAGTGGCAACAAAATGTCCTGTGTGTTTTGTCTCCTCTGGCTGCAGTTTCAAATTCCGTGCAAAGCCAAGCCTAGTGGCAGTACTTGTAGTCCTAGCTGCTCAGGAGACTGGGGTAGGAGGATCACTTAAGCTCAGGAACTTGAGGACACTACCTCAAAAAAATCTGACCAAACAAGAAATCCAAAAAGACACTTCTGTGCAACCCATGCCAAGATTTCTACAACAGTGTTATATCCTTTTATAGTGCCTCAGAAATTAAACTCTTCCAGGGGCTGGGGATTTAGCTCAGAAGCATAAGCACCTGCCTGACAAGGATGAGGTTGTGAGTTCGATCTCTAGTACCAAAGGGGGGAAAAAAAAAGCCATTAAACTCTTCCGAGGCTAGCATGTCTACCATTCCTCTGAGGATACCCAATATTGTATATCAGTAACAGGTAGTTTTTGTCCATAATACCTGAGGCCCCATCCACCCAACTTCTAGAAACAAGGAGCAGTTTCCAAAGGGAAAATGGCCACAACTGGGAAGTGTGGGAAGCTGTTCAGCCACCAGAGTCCCCTCCCACCGCAAGGAGGGCACACCCTGGCAGGACTGGCTGATCAGTTGTCCTGAGGCTCCTGTGTCACCTCCTCATAGCAGAGGCTCTTCACATTGTGAACACAGGCTTCAGGGTTGGCCCTGTCCTCTCATCTATACATTTAAAGCTCTCATGCTTTTTTTTTTTTTTGTCTTTTGAGACAGAATTTCACTACGCCATTCAGACTGGCCTTGCACTCACTCTGTAGCACAACTCACTCTGGCCTCAACTTGCAGCAATCCTCCTGCCTCAGCCTCCTGAGTGCTGGGATTACAGGTGAGTAGTATCACCACACCTGGCTCTCATGCATCTTTTGTTGGATTGATTTCTGGATACTTTGTATTTCTGATGCTACCATAAATGTCACTGTTTTAAAAGTTATACTTTGTTTGTTCTTGTGAATATATAAATGATTTTGTATCCAGCAACACTGTTAAAATTCTTTTGTTGATTTTAATTTTTTTCGAAGTTGACAATCATCTGAACTCTGAACACTTTACTCCTTTTCAATTTTATAGCTTTAGTTTATTTTTTATTTATTCTGCCTTATTTCACACATGACGCTACAGCGTATTATCAGGATGATGGGACATTGGGCTCCTTTATCTTGCCCTTGAGCTTACACAGAGATTTTAGTCTAAGTTAAAACACTTCCCTTCTACATTTAGGATATGGCCAAGCTCACCTTCTTAGTGAGATTCTGCCTTAAAAAACTAAACCACCCACCCACCCATACACACACACATACACACACACACTTAGGCTACTTTATTCTTTTCTAAAACAACCATGTAATCTCCAAAACCTGAATGTTGTATTTCGAAAGATCCGAGATCTGACCTGGCTAACCAGTTTTTGTCTCTAGGGAGAGACAAAAACCCCTCCATGTTCGGTCCTATTTTCCCTCTCCTGGCACAGTCCTCCTTCCTTTTGTCCTGTGCTACCTCACCTGGACTCACTGCTACACCATCTTCCTATCATGGACTTCACCCTGGCCTGTGGACTCATCTCTATAATTGAGGCCCTCAGGACTCTGTTACCACCAGTGGGAACAACTCCCACCAGCAGCCCTGCCTGAACTAGGCCTAGACTCAAGAGAGAGGGGCCACGCCCTTTACTTACCTGAGCAGTCACTCCCCAGGCCCTGGCTCTTTGTAGTCCCGTGCTCATCTAGGACCCATGGGTCTTCTCCTCGCTCCAGCTGGCAGATCACATTAGGCTTGGATCCTGGAAGTCCTGCTCGTTAAGGGGGAAGTCTTTTGTTAAAATAACATCTGTGGAGACACCTCCAACCCAGTGTCCTTTGACGACATGAAGATGGACAGGAATGACCTGTTGTAGCTGAAGAAGCTTCTAGGACAGTAGTGGTGAACCTATAGCATGCACGCCACAGCGAGCTGTTTGTATCTGAAAACTAAAAGGTTTGCCATCACTGCTCTAGGACAAGCATGGCTGAGGTTCCCATCCAAGTCTCCTTCCCAGGTAGCTCCCACCCTAGTTCAGCATATAAACTCAGATGGGGTCTGCGGAGGGGCCTTACCCACTGAGACCACGTTCCCATAGGTCTCCATCATCACGTTTCGGTACAGGCCCCGCTGAGCAGGGCCCAGGCGGTCCCACTCTTCCTGGGAGAGGAACACAGCCACATCCTCGAAGGTCACCTTGGCCTGGAATGACAGAGGCTGCTTTGGGGAGATCAGGTATCCAGGTGTGTGAAAGGGTGTGGGTCTGTGTGACATGGGCAGCAAAAAGGGAAACGCTGTCAACCAGTGGATCAAAAGCAAGAAACTACAAAGTTCAGAGGATGGAGTGACACTTATGCCCCCCCCCCCGAGACCCCAGATGTGGAAAGGACAATAGGGTCTCTGGTCAGGGGCACTGCACAAGCCTTAGGGATAGCTCACCTGGGGTCCAGCTGGCAGTGGCAGGAGCTCGGCCGCTGCCATCTCCTGGTTTCCTGGGAGCTCTGAGAGTACAGAAAACAGGCTCCTGTGGGACTGAGCAAGAGTGGGAACATGTGAGGGTTCAGGCCTTGCCCCAACAGCTGACCTAAGAGGTGTGGAGTGGCTAAAGCTGGAATTGATCACACATGTGGGGTGAGGCAGGGCCGTTCCAAAAACAAAGAGCACCCAAAATGGGCCACGTGAACAGACTGTTCCAGTCCAGAGTTGCTAGGCAAAGAGAGGTCACATGACACCAACCAGAAAAAATACATAAATAATCATGCTTTGGTGATTGGGCAGTTCCTTTCCTCCCATCAAGAGAGACGGATCTCTACCTGACCTCAGCTTTCTGCATGTTGCCTCTTATCTTTATTTCTCCATCTTCTCACCGTCCTTCCCCTGGCAACTTGGAGCACTGCACTGGATGTGGAACTCAGGGGCCCCTGGACTGCATGCTCTGAGGCAGGCATGCTCTGTCCCATCTCCTCACCTCACAGCCCAACTGGGTCCTATAGTGCAGGTGCCTGTCAGACCCTGCACACACAACACTTGGGCCTGCCCTGTCAACACACGCATTTCTGGTCATGGGTCCTTAGTTTCCAGCCCCCTGACTCCTCATGGTTGGCTAATCATACCTCTGTGTAAGGAGCCAGGAAGGGCTGGGGGTCTGCCCAGCTCACCTTGGCCCAGGCCTTTTCCTTCCTCCATACAAGGACAGCAGCTTGCAGCGGGCCAGTGTCTGTGTGTTCCGCACCACAAGGCATTTGTGGGTCATGCGGGGGCTAAGGCTCAGCCCGGGGTGGCACACACTCCTGTGAAGACCCTGGCCCGAGGCTTAGTCACTGCTGGAATCTGCTGGTGGTCTCGATGCTGCACTGAGGCAGGGGCTCTCAGCCTTACAGCTTGATGAGGGTGCTGGCAGCAAGGGCCTCAGCGGTGTCACTTCATGTGTACTGAGTCTGGGGTGACCCAGGAATCTAGTCTGAGGCTTGAAGGAGGACTTGCCATCAAGTTAGAAGAGGAGGCCTGGATGTGGGTCCCCTGGAACATGCCTGTGACTGCCGTCTAAAGCTCACACGTTCACAAGGCAACAGTAGACCTGTGTGGGGCACTGGAAACCAGTTTTTAACCAGCTCCCTATTTCCCCTCAGGATTCTGAAGCTCACCTCACTTTGCTCTATGAAAAAAATCACTGGAGTTCAGACAAAAAAGGAAAGTCATGTGGACAGTTTTTTAAGACTTGAAAGGCTGTTGTCTATCAAGAGCCCTTACATAGCCCCTCTTCAGCCTGAGGAAGTCAGATCAGTCATCGCTCATTTCTCCCTCACAGCAGCTCACAGCACTTCTTTAAGAGTGGGGTGTTACAGGCAGCTGAGTTAGACACAGGCAGTCAGACAGGACTAGGCCCTGGCAGGAGCCAACGTAGAGACCAGACACCTTGCAACTGTGGGCCAGAATGCAAGATAAAAGATAAAACAAACACACCCATAGACTTCCTAAGGATAAATGTCAGGGACTGATATTCTAAATAGGTCTCCATCACCTTAAGGAAGCCAGAAGGAGCCACTAACCCAACCCCCTCTACAGAAAAGGCCCTGCTCTGCATTCATGCCCACTTGCTACTCGTGACTCAGTTCCCCATCTGATCTTGATTTCATCAATTTACCTGAGCAATTATATTCATAATCATACTGGTTTCACAATAGTTCTGGCTCACCTCATGTCCGCCTTTGATTTCCCATTTTTCTTAACCTTAGATCTGCCTCGCCTCATGGTTTTGATCTATAAAAATCCCTAGAAAAGGCAGCAACGCACTCAGGACCCCTTCTGTCTCTCTCTTGGACAGAAGCTTTCTCTCAATAAATATATTCTGCTCTTAACAAAAACAAAAGCCTGGCTCATAAAAGTCCTGAAAAGATGTTGGGCCCCAGGGCTAGGACTGAAACAGGCCAGGAATCACTGCCACAAAATAATGAAGACAGAGTCTGCAGAGCCCCTCATGAAGCTACGACCCTGCCTAATGCTTGGGCAAATACAGCCAGCACCCCCAGCGAGCTACACACTCAGGAAGCATCAGAGCTGAACACAGACCTCATACACTAATGGGTCCAAAAAATGGCACACAAAAGGTTTGAGTAGCAGAGTAATTTGGGACTGTCCCTATAGAATAACCCAGAAAAACAAGAAGATCAACCCCTCAGAAGCCATGGTCACTTAAAGAAAACTGGAAAGAAGCCACATTGCAGTCAGGTACTTTCTGTCAAGTGGGAGTCCAGCTCTCATTATTATGACCCGGCACTGCAAGGGAAGAACTAAAGAACTTGTGAGTCTGTCCCAGGCCTAAGCCTCTTGTATGGAGATGGGCAGCAGGTTCAGAGCCTTATGATGGGGTGATGCCTCTAAGTACAAGATAAGGCCACAGGCGAGGACACCTGGCTCCAACTCCAATTAACTAGAGACTGTAGCTGCAGGTGCCTCACTGCTGTAGTAAATGTCAACTTAGGGATAAGACAGCTCTCCTAACTAGCATAATTTACCACTTGGAGAAGACTTCCAAGCTCCTGCTTAGTTTCCACACCATCCATTCTAAGCACTTCTCTTCTTTGAAAACCAAATAAACAAAGCTGCCCAGAGTTCTTTGTCTCAGCCCCCAGAGAATCCCAAATTCTGCTAAAGGATTTTGATCCTCCTGGAGCCCTAAAATCATACCACTTGTCTTTTTTATTTAACCCTTCATGTCTACTCATTTGGGAGGTTACAGGCCTCAACAATCTGGGATAAGTAGCCCAGGCTGGTTCTTGCCTCTAACTCCTGAATATTGGGATTACAGGAATGTGCCACCATGTAATGGTGGAAGAGTGTAAAACACTACTAAATATAACACTCACAAACTTCCTAGAGTATGTGTCTAGACTGATAGTGTTCCTATACCCCAGTGACACTTGATTAAAGATATGACAGGGAAAAAAATGATTCTATTCACAAATATCAATAAAAAACAGACTTTAGAAATGTGCAGGTTTCTACACAGAAAGCTATGGAAGTTTATGGACAACAAAGAATGATATAAAAGGCACACATACCAGGTCTCTATAAAGACTGGACAGATCACAGTGATGCTCACCTGTGATCCACTCACAGTGTTAACACATCTGTCATCTAAAAGAACAAACACAGGGACATTCTGGAGACACTTAAGAAAGGTGCCAGGTGAGAGAGGAGCTTAATCTGCCACCAGGCCACATGGGCCTCAGTGAGAATGACCAACTCAGGAAAGGTCACAGCAGAAAGTTTAGTGAGTTTATTCAAACTGTCAGTGCTAGCTTAGTGGGAAGGGTCTGGGTTCAATCCCTAGTACAGCAAAATAAATAAATAAATAAATAAATTCATTTGCTGGAGGAAAGATGATTTACTAAGTGGCAACAGGATGACAGGTTAAATATTTTAGGAAAAGTAACATTAAATATTACAAAATTAACAAATTATTATAAAGTAGAGCAAAGAGATTTAAAAAGTAAAAGGGCAGAGGACTTAAAAACAACATCATAAAATAATTTAAAAATACAAAACATGTGTGGTGGTGCATATCTGTAATCCCAGCACTCAGAAAGCTGAGGCAGGAGGGCTGCTTTGAGTTTCAGGTCCGCCTAACTACATAGTGAGGCCTTGTCTCAAAAAAGAAAAAAACAACTTACTGCTTCGGGTATGTTGCTCAGAAAAGCCTTTTTTTTTTTTGAAGGAAAGGTTTATTTAGCTCACAGTTTGTGGAGGTTTCAGTTCATAATCACCTGGCTCCAAGGCAAGGTGGCATGGTGAGGGGGTTCAAAGCAGTTCAAAGCAGCCAAGAGCAAGAGGAACAACAGTAAGTCCTGGGAGGCAGACACCCAGACATGCAGCTTGTAAATCAAAACCTTATGCACAAAGCCACCACGAAGTCTAGAAATGGGCCTAAAGACAGAGAAGAATTTAATAGGTGACAAAGACAGTATCACAAATCAGTGGGAAGATACACTAGTTATTTAATAGTGGATAGTGTTAGAAATTGTTACGATTTAGAAGGCAAAAACTGGGCTCTAAGCTTACCCCATATTTAAATTCCAGATGATCCAAATTTTAAAAGTACCACAGAAAACAAAAGGCTATTTTAAAAGCCAGAGTGAGAAGACGCAGAGTTGTGCTCTTTCAACAGGCAAATCACAAACGAAATCCAAATAGCTAAAACACAAATGAAGAGACTTCAACCTTGCCAAGAACGTAGCCTGGAAACTCAAGCGTCCCGGCGGGAAGAAGGCAGGGCTGCTTCCCCACGCTGCAGGAATGGGGCACCACGCCCTCGCCTGCCAACCTCACTCCACTTCGTGCTAAGCCCACAGAACACAAATCCAAGAAGACCTGTCACAGTGAAAAGTCTGGCGGAGTTTTGCGTTCAGGTGCAGAACACGAAATCCGCCGGCTGCACGGCAGCCGGAACCGCACCTGAACCCCTGAAGGGGAAGCGCAGGGGCCACTTTCCCGCATAGGGGCAGGACGTCGGGACAGTGGCTTTCATATTTGCTGACAAGCTTGCTTATCATTTTCTATTACAAACTTAAAAACCAGTAGTAAACAAAGTATGTCTGCTGTGTTACCCAACACTGGCTTCATTCATTAAAATAGGACTGACAAAGTAACGGCGTAAAGACATCCATAGAGAAACGGAGAAGCACATTCGGCCACTAGAGCCGGGGCAGTGCGTTCTTGCTCAGCTAAAGGCGTTTCCGCAGCACCCAGAAAAACCTGTTTCTATCTTGGCTCAGGCGGCGCCTGCAGCCCCGGCTACTGAGATGCTGCAGCTGGAAGATCGCTTGGGCGCAGGGGTTCGAGGCCGGCCTGGGTAACACAGTGAGAGCCAGTCTCATAAACAAAACCAAGCTTCCCCTTCTGCGCATCGGAGACCCCCGCCCCCATCCTCTCCACAGATCCCCGCGGCCCCCCTCCCCCCCGAGTAAGATCAGTGCTGGCGGGAGGCACGGCGCCGCGGCGCGCCAAGACAGGCTAAGGTGTGCGAAATGATCAGGGCCATCGCAGCTGTGAAGACCGCGGGCCTGCTGTCAGCATGGGAGGGGGTCCCGCCCGAAGCCTGCTGCCCTGACTCACCGTCCGCCGCAGCCGCGGAAGCCGACTGGAGGCCGCCCGCAGCGCTCTCAGACAAAGGGGCCGCCCCGCCCCCTCCGCGCCGCCACCAATCGCCGGAAGCTCCATCCCCCAGGCTCGGCCCCCGCCGCACAAACTACCAATCCTGATACACAACGCCTGACCGAATGGCCGCCGGCTCCGCCTACTCGCCCATAGTTTGCTTCCGTAATAGACCGCAGGTCTATGGTCTGGGGCCATCGAGAACTGAGGCTTCCTCGGTGTCTAGAGAGGCCACGCCGCGCTCCGGAGGGGGCCAGCCCGCGTGGACGTTGCCGCACTTCCGGGCGCGCTGGGGCTGGCTAACGTGAGTTCGGCGGCCAGGCTCTCTGGCTGTTTTCCCGCGTTCGCCGAGAACTGTTCCTCCCCATCTCCTCCCGGTGGAGCCTGTGGAGCTCGTTCCCGCCTTTACTCCTTTGCTGTGGCTGCCTCGGTTAGCGGCTATTCCCGCTGCGCCCGCGCTCCAGTGGCGCCTCCTCGTCGCAGAGCACTGACGTCCCTTGCTGGGCTCTAAGGAGGTCTACTCTGGGCCCCAGCACGGTCCCTGTTGTTCCCACTCCCTAGGCTTTACCAGCTTCTTGTGTGGGAGCTGTGTGCGGCTCCTGCTGCAGAAGAGACTGGCACAGGCGCGCATCTCAGCACCCAAAGATGGAAGGTCAGGGCGGGTGTGGAGTGAGATCCGCTGAGGGAGTCGACTCTGCTTTTGGTGGCTACAGCCAACAGGAATGGTCGGCCTGGAAACCACGGCGGGGGTGGAGTAGGGTGCGATGTGCCGGACATTGGTGCTGGGGAACGTGTCTGATGAGAACAGGCTGGAAAGAGATTGTGTGTGTGTGTGTGTGTGTGTGTGTGTGTGCGCGCGTGAGCGCGCGCGCAATAATTCAGACATTACAAAGAGCTGAGGGTTGTGCTCCTCCCAGGTGTGAGGTGCTAGGATGCCTACTTTGTGGCATGCTAGATCACAGCAGTATACCACAGGGTCGGTCAACCTTTTTGACATGATGTCTTGCGGTGGTGCTCAGCCTAGTTTCACACTCCAGGCCTAGTGATCCTCCCACTTTACCCTCCCATGTAGCTGGGGCCGGAGAGTGTGTCATGTGAGGCTCTTAACAACATTATGCAAATATTCATACATTTATAAAAGTTGAAAGAATACTACAACAAATAATTGTGTGATCTTCCCATGGATTCAGTAGCCAGCATCCCCCCAGCAAATCTGTTTTGTGCTTAGCTTTACAACCTCTTAACTTTTTCCTCTGTATTACTACACACACAGTTTTTGAGTGCCAGTGAGTTAAGCAGTGTTCTAAGCAAGCAATTCTATCAAACTTATGCCTTGGATCCATAAGGACAGGAGGATAAATGTGGGAATTACACAATGGGACCTTCCCTCTCTATGGAAGGTACAAGGATGAACTGCTGCAGCTCATAGGTATCCAGCGGAGCTCCTTTCATGGGTGATAAGAGCAACAAAGAACTAGCAGCTGCCCTATCTGCATCCTCTGCCTCCACAGTGAGGTCTGGCTTATTCTGAGCTTCAACTCCGGTTTTAGTTGGTCACCATTCTCACTTTTTTTTTTGGTCCTTTTCCTTTTTATTGGTACCGGGGATCAAACTCACGACTGCCTGCTTCCAAGGCAGGCGCTTATGCCGCTGAGCTAAATCCCACCGTTCTCACTTTTCATACATCTTCCTTTCCCAACTGTCTGCCTTTTTCCGGCATCAGATGACGGTAACCTCACAGGAGCTGTGAACTATATCCTATACGTTCTGAGTGTGTGGAGTCCAATGTCTGTAACACACACACACATCTCTCCTCTAATAGAACCCTAATGCAATATATCTACAGGACTTACAAAAATACATTCTGCTTGTTCTAGCAAATGGAGAAGTAAACAGTTTCTAGTTCAACTACTTTTTTGTTGCTTTTATTAACGCTTTTGAGTACACAATGAACTCAGGGCCTTTTGCTAACTTAAATAACTATTATAATTGCTAGATACTTTTAAATGCCTGAATAGTCACACTGAATTAGAGACAGACACTGGGGTTGGTTACTCTTGCCTTTTACCATAGTCCCTGGCATCTTTCAACCTACCACAATTTTTGATGACAGAGTGTTTTAGGACCCCTGTGTTTTTCTGTGGTGTAGATATGGATTTAGCCCTCTCAGAAATGCTGCCTGCTAAACAAGACAATGGTGGCCAAAAGATGGTCCCTAAGGATGCACCTGCAATTTGGTGCATTGTTGGATTGTTAACCTTTCTTAAGGTGGTGCTCACAATTGTTGGTTTTTTCCCAGTTTATCATATTGTAATAACACATTACTGTCAGTATTGGCATCAACTTCCTGCAACAGAAACTTGATTATAGTGCCTTGACCTAATAGCTCTTTTCCTCAGAACAGAAGTCCAGAACTGGTTATCTAGGATACTCTACTGCAACTAGGTTTCTAGACTTGTAAGTTACCCTTTATATTTCATTAGCCTTATTATTATTTTGATTCTTGGTTGCAAGAAGAATGCCGCTTTGACAGAATCACATCCACATTCCAGGCAGAATGGGAGAATCAAGTGAAGATCTGCTTAGTCAACCACATGTTAAGCTTTTTCAGAACTGGGCTTTGTGACTTTTTTTTTACACAATGCTGCCCTGAAGTATATTAGAAAACCAGCTGTAGCTCCAAGGAGACCTGGGAAAATGTAGTTTTCCTGCTGTGTAAAGTCCTGTACTAAACAAAACTATTTTTGAAGAAATAGTGGGAAATTGATATTCATTAGGCAACCAACAGACAGCCACATTCTATCCCACAGTTCTCCAAGCAAGTGTTTTAACTCCTTTTCATCATCATCATTATCATCATCATCATCGTTATAGGGGCTTTTTGGGACACAGGATCTTGCTTTGTTTATTTTGTGGTTTTGAGACAGTATCTTACTATGTAATTCAGTCTGGTGCATGTGTGTGTGTGTCTGTGTGTGTGTAAGTTTGTGTTATTGGATTGAACCCAGAGCCTTCATACTGAGCTACATTCTCAGTCCTTTTTAATTTTATATATTTATTTATTTTTGGTATAGGGAATCAAACTCAGGACCTTGCACTTGCCAGGCAGGTGCTATGCTGCTAAGCTCTATTCCTAGCTTATTTTTTATTTTGAGATAGGGTCTCAGTAACATGCCCTCACTGGACTGGAACTTGCAATCCACCTGCCTTAGCCTCCCAGAGTGCTGGGATTATAGAAGTGTGCTATCATGCCCGGCTAGTTCTCCCTCTCTCTTTTTTTTCTCTCTCTCTCTCAAATCAATTTTATTTCAAAGAGGAAAAAACCCAGAAAAAACCCTACGATTTCAAAACACATCAACCAGGAGCAACAAGGGTACATACATTGCACATTGTCATCCTCAGATCACTCACCCAGAGCACAAGACGTCTGCATTCAGTTGTCTGAACAATACCAGCACAAATCTTTCTCTTCAGCGAACTCAGAGAAATTAATAGTATGACTCTCTTAACTTTTTTTATATACATATACATATGTTGTTTCTTTCAACTTCTCATACTAGTGAAACAATGTTTACATTTGTGTGTCGGATTTGTTTCACAATTTGTTTCAACAATATGAATATTGTTGTGAGTTACATCCCTTTACTTGTAAGTCTCCAGGGTTTATCTATCTTTATGACTGAGCAGTACTCCATTGTATAAAAATACCACATCTGGTTTTTTTTCAAATCCATTTTATTCAAGGGTAAAAAGAAAAAAGATTAAAAACCTACAACAAAATTTCAAAATATGTCAACCAGGGGGCAACAATAGTACATACATTGCTCATTGTCATCCCCAAATCATTGACCCAGAGCACAGGACATCTGCATTCAGTGGTCCAAAAAATACCAGCACAAATCTTCAGCGAACTCTGAAATCAGTAGTATAACTTTTAAAACTATTTTTTGTATACATATACATGTTTTTCTTCCAGCTTGTCTCACTGATGAAAGGATACGATGTTTAGACATGAATACCACATCTTTTTTTACGCATTTCTCATTCGATGGGCATTTAAGTTGTTTCCAATGTGGGGAACCACTCAGATGACTCCCTGAAAAGAAGAGCAATTATCTCCATTTTAGAAAAACTTGGTCCTATCTCCAAGAGCTGAATTACTACAAGATACTGTCTCAAGAGCTCCAAGAGCTAGTTAGGCTATTTGTTTGTATGTTCAATTGCCTTTAAGCAATGCAGATTGGGTTAGCTGAGGAGCTGATGTGTAATCTCTGAATCAAGGTGACATGTCAGTGTTACCTCACCTAGTGACTCTCCAAATACATGGTTGAGCTGCGTGGGATGGATTACCATGCTCCATGTTGTTGGCTGGAACCAAGTCATGAGAAATAGACTATGACATCCCAGGGAAAAAGGATTGTACATCAAATCTGAAGCACTCACCCCAAATTATTAGATATTACTTCAGTTGTTATGCAGATTACTCTATTTCTTGCCCTCTGCTTATTGTAGAGGTGATCTCAGACCTAGCCCAGCTCATGGTAGTCATGGCAGACATGTATTTCCCACCACTCTATTGTCACTTATTCCTGAGCCACTTCCCTCATTGAGAATTAATAAAACCTGGGTTGGGCCCTGGGAGAGGCCTTTGTTCCAGTGAGCCATCATTTTGGCTGGACTTAGGACCTCTTGGGTCCCTGTAACTACGTATGTATCTTACTGTCTTTATTTTCACCTTGGGTTGCAATGGAGGTGGT